ATTCGTGTCATAAATCTCACAAAGAATCCAATCCAACACTCAAAAACAAAGTACACTGAGATTAGACAACACTTCATTAGAGACCATGTTCAATATGGGAATGTAAAACCTGAATTTTTTAGAACCGATGACCAATTGGCAGATATATTTATAAAACCATGGTGATGATCAATTTTGTGACATTAGAAGGGAGTTAGGAATATTATATCCAATGTAAGGAAGTCCTAGAAGAAATGGAAGTAGTGAGAAAGGAAAAAACAAGAAAATTGGACTGAAGATAGAAAAGTAGTCGGCTCTTACGGATTCTCATCTGAAATACGAACAGCTCATTTGTACTACCAGAGGTCTTATCCGAAATACCAGATAGTACATCTGGTCTGCCAAAAGCAACATCTAGTTTACCATTTTTGGTCTAACAGACATAGAACATCAATACTTTTCATTTAAAATTTGAATTTTCCACTGCATAACTCCCTCCCAACCGCTCCCTCTTCTTTTTAAAACCATTACAAAAGCCTTCTTCTCTCAAACCCTAAATCTCAATCTCTTCATTTTCTCTCAAACCCTAACACTTCATCTTCCCCCTATTTTTCTTTGTAAAAATCAGTCACCATGGCTCCCAAAGCAAGAGGTGGAAAATCCAAAAGGGCATTTACTTTAATTGCTAATCTAGAAGAATGATGGATGAAGCAACACTTGGATATCTCCTTTCTCAATGATGACTGTCGTGAACATTAGCATTGGTATAAATCTCGAAACTTTGTGGAAGGTTATAAATGATTTATTTGACTTGATGGAATGGAGTAAGGCTATGGAGTTGGATGAACCATACTATCCCACTTTTAATTTGTAGATTTTATGCAAATCTAGTGGCCACTAAGTTGAGAAAATTGAAATCTATGGTAAAAGAACTAAAAATCACTCTCACACCAAAGATAATTGCAAAACGCATTAAGGCACCAAATGAAGGTTGAATAATTTTATTTTGGAAAAAAGAAAACTCAGCACAATATGTTGAAAATGAAAACGAGGTTATGTAAATAATTTGTGGAGGAAATTGGGGTGTTGGTACAAAAATGCCAAAAAAAACATGCTTGATGTGCCTAGAGTCATAAATAAAATCATTGTTAAAAACATTGCGCCAAAGTGAGGTCATTTCAATGAGGTTCTGCAATTTCAAATATTTATCATTCATTCCATCATGACCGGGCATAGACTCAACCTTCCTTGCATCATTATGCAATATATGCTACAAGTTGACAAAAGGGATAGCAAACTCCATTATGGCATGCTTCTCATTTGAGTCTTTGAGAAATTTGAGATTGATCTCAATCATGAGGAAGCAATGGCTGGGAAGACATTCTTTGATAGCACCACCTTGAAATTGATTAGCGTTATAAGAAGGGAATAAGTGATTATTAGAGAGAAAAGAGCTATGGTGGGTGGTAATCAAGGTGACGGTGATGAAGAAATGGAAGCAAACTTTGTCATAAATGAGGACAATCCACAACACACTAAGGAACTTCATGAATTTAATGATTATCGTAAGGGCGAGGCCAAATCCATGGGACGATATGCCACTATGCAGGATCTTGAGCCGCTTCGCATGATGGTGGATGATCTCACCTCTAGCACTGAGGGACTTCACACCAAGGTTGATGGCATAGTCAACTCTCTACCTAATCCACCTCTTCCTACTCCTCCTTTCATGGAGTGATCATTAGGATGACTATCTTTCACTATCATGATTAAGACTCTTAAAGTCTCCTAGGATGATGGATGTTGTTAACTTGTGGTGTATGTCTTAAAGTTTATGTTTTTTGAATGGTTGTTTAAGTTTGTAAGAATCTAAGTTTTATGTTTGTTGGATGGATGTTTAAGTTTTAAGTATGCGATTGAAGATTTTATGATGAATGCTTTTATGCTTGTTATGAATGTTTCACGTTTTCAATGGATGGTTTAAATTTATTTGATGATTACATGGAATACTATTTGAGAAATGTTTTCCCCTTGTTATTAAGCCTATTTACTTGCTTTAACTATTGAGATGGTAATGAGAATTGCATATGTGTTATAATATGTGACATAATTATGAAAATTTATTTATTGTTGCATCACTTTACCATTTGGGTTATTGGTATATATTATTAGCTCTCTACCCTTGGCAAGTGATTGATAATTGCTTGGTCTCATTTTGATGATGCAAAAAAGGGAGAAATATATGTGTGTGTGTGTGTGTGTGTGTGTGTGTTACATAAAGGACTCTGATCACTCTAAAGCTCATTATCAAGACACATACATATTTTACCTACTATCACACTTCAATTATATTATTGAAAATTATGAGCATTTTTAAATGGTGCATTGGTTTAGGGGGAGCTTTTCATTGTCATCATCAAAAAGTGGGATAATGTTGACCCGATGCTTCATTAAGCATAATTTTGATGATCACAAACATCCTAAATGTGAACTAATGTGTGTATTAGTGTACAAACAAGTGTAGGATTAAGTTTAATTGATCGCCAAAGATGAACAAGAAAGAAGAGAAAATATCACGAACACAAGGCAATGAAAGCAAGGTTAAATGAAGAAGAATGACCATCCGAAAAGGCATCCGATATGTCGTATGGATAATTGAAAGACCTCAAATTTTTTCTAAAATGGCCAAGACTGAAGGAAGAAGAAGGAGCACCTAGAGGCCATCTGGTATGATAGATGGAAAACCAGTAGATTTCTAAATGTTTCTGGAAATAGCCGAGGGAGAAAAAGGAACATCCAAAAAGGAATTTGGTATGTCGGATGGACAATCAACAGATCTCCAAACCTTTCTGGAAATCAAAGTGTTTTGAGGAATGCTAAACCAAGAAGACAAAGGAAATAGATCTGACCAACCAGATGGCTATCTGGTATATTGGATTTATACTACGCCAAAGGCTACATCCAGAAGATTATCCANTGTGTGTGTGTGTGTGTGTGTGTGTGTTACATAAAGGACTCTGATCACTCTAAAGCTCATTATCAAGACACATACATATTTTACCTACTATCACACTTCAATTATATTATTGAAAATTATGAGCATTTTTAAATGGTGCATTGGTTTAGGGGGAGCTTTTCATTGTCATCATCAAAAAGTGGGATAATGTTGACCCGATGCTTCATTAAGCATAATTTTGATGATCACAAACATCCTAAATGTGAACTAATGTGTGTATTAGTGTACAAACAAGTGTAGGATTAAGTTTAATTGATCGCCAAAGATGAACAAGAAAGAAGAGAAAATATCACGAACACAAGGCAATGAAAGCAAGGTTAAATGAAGAAGAATGACCATCCGAAAAGGCATCCGATATGTCGTATGGATAATTGAAAGACCTCAAATTTTTTCTAAAATGGCCAAGAGTGAAGGAAGAAGAAGGAGCACCTAGAGGCCATCTGGTATGATAGATGGAAAACCAGTAGATTTCTAAATGTTTCTGGAAATAGCCGAGGGAGAAAAAGGAACATCCAAAAAGGAATTTGGTATGTCGGATGGACAATCAACAGATCTCCAAACCTTTCTGGAAATCAAAGTGTTTTGAGGAATGCTAAACCAAGAAGACAAAGGAAATAGATCTGACCAACCAGATGGCTATCTGGTATATTGGATTTATACTACGCCAAAGGCTACATCCAGAAGATTATCCAGTATGTCGAATAAGTCTCCGAACGTGACAATTTTAAATGTCAAATTATTCATTCTCTCATTTAATACACCCAAAGTATAAACAGAGGTGAATGGGAGTTGAAGAACAACTTTTGGGCATTCGACTTTGAGAAAAAAGAGATTATCTAACTTTTGTTTTCATCTTGAAAAAGAGATTCCTATGAAGCTTCTGTTCTGTTTGTATTCTCTAGTGCTTTGTGCTTTCATTGCACTGAGAAAGAATATTTCTAAGTAAAAGAGAGTTGTTTATTTTTCTTGAGATGTGCTAAAGAAGGGTTTTTTTATCTTGTATCAAGAAGAAAAAGATTGTAAGGGTTTTGATTCTCACCCATTGAAGAGATTCAAGCTAGTGAAGGGAAACTCCAAGGGGAAGAAGAACAAAGGACGTAGGCCAAGTGGATTGGGACCAAACCTCTATAAATTGTGTGGTTGTTCCGCTCTCTCTCTCTCTCTCTCTCTCTCTCTCTCTCTCTCTCTCTTATATATTGATTACTTGCATGTCAATTCACTAAATATTTATTGATCACTCACATTCATCTAAACAAAGAAATTTGACAAAAAAATTAAATTGTCTTTTAAAAACCTTGAAATAGAAAAAACCTAATTCACCCCCTTTTAGGTTGTATTTGGGCCAACAAATTTTTCTATTAAAAAATTAATGATGTTGTTAGGTTGGATATTTTACTTTAACGTGTCCTTTAAACCTTAAAATAAATATTTTTGGACCTATTGGTCCAATAAATCTAATAGGTGTCCTTTCAAGCAATTTTCACATGATTAACCCATGTGTTTCATTTTCAAGATCATATTTTTCATGTGTGGACTAAGTGAGAGATTGTTTGAGCATTTCCTAAATAAAATTCTTGTGTGGACTAAGTGCTTTCATATTTTGCATGTGTGGACTAAGTGAGAGATTGTTTGAGCATTACCTAAATAAAGGCTTTTAAAAAAACCTTCCAATTAGTCCTATATATGCGATTTTAAAAAATAGATTGGTGGTCATCGAATTCAACTAGGGTGGAGAAGTTTGTTTTGCAGTTTGACCAACAATTGTATGTGGGTTGTGATTTATACAACAAGAGGGAGTGGATATCTACCACTCTCTTATAACTTCTATTATGGGCATACTCGCACAAGAGGTTAACATATAAGTGGTGGTCCTCCCCCACTCATGCACGTCTAACTTCATTAGCTATCATCATCCACATTGTGCATCAGAAATTGGGATAGAGCAACATATTCTTCTATTATTGGAAAATGGGTAGCCTTGATCTTTGTGTCTGGGATTAATAGGTATGTCGATTACCTTGCTTCGTCAACGAATGATACAATTTGATTACAGAAGATACTATAGATCTGTGATTTTTTCACGTTTTATAAACCAAATGTCCCAAGCTCAAAAAAACATAAAAGTGTAATATATGTATTAGAGGTACATGCAAGAATCAATATTAGTAGATAATAATATGTCCATATATATGTTTGGACTCCATAGTTTCACACAATCCATCATGTTAAGTTAAAGAAATACACTACACGTACTATAGCCAAACATAAAGCAGCTTTACTCATCAGTTTGTTTTACGACAGTTTTCTCTTATTTCTCCTTTGGAACCTTCTTTGACACCGAGCCTGCTCATTTTCACCATGGTTTGCTGGAAATCGAAGAAAAACCTGGCTTGGTTCATGGCATAAGCATTGACAATTCCCCTAGTTTTCATGCTTGCATACAAGGTTTGGTCAGAAGTAAGTACCCCAGCCTTCCTTTGCAGTGCGTTGTAATAGTCATTATCAAAAGTGTTTCGGGTCGAATCAAAGACTTGTTCGGCATTGTCGCCTGCCCTGCATGTTTCGGACAATGTCTTTGCAAAAGTTGTCTCTAATGTTGGATCCATGTCATTAGTGGAGTCGAAATTACTCAATCGATTTTTGAATGATGAGCATCTTGCCACTCCCAAAGTATGCGCCCCTACATAAGTGAAAACAATTAAAAAAAAAAAAGAGTAATGCTACAACAATGCCAAAAATTGGACAAAAATAAGGACCAATTTATGTGGAATAAGACAAAGAATTATCACGTCAAAGCCACGTTGTTTGGATCTTATTTTTTGTCATTTTTTTTTTTGTTAGTTCAGCATTACTCCAAAGCAAGCATCAAACGCATTCATTCATGTGATCATACCAGCGTACGGAAAAAGTTCTGGAAAAAAAAAAACCATTAGCATGCGAACACCAAATTTTGTTTTGCTAGAACAGCTCATTCAGGAATTGCCAAATATTCACCAGATAATGCTACCATTTCCTGAGCACTAAAGCCATGCTGCCCAAACCTCATGACTAGCTCTGAACTATTTAGGGTGGGTGGAGGCAGGTTGATTGTGTCTTCTATCTTTGACCTTCTTCCATCCTTTCTTCCTTTTGGTATGTCATACACTGGACCGCCAGCCTGATACCAACAAGACCATTGTGAGTTCCTATTGATCCTGATGGAAATAAGCCAAGGAACAATTTAAGGAAAAAGAAAGAATAATATTGTAGTCATTGACTCATCCAGAAATTTAGCCCGGGGAAGCAGCCTCTTAAATTTATCACAAGTTTAAGAGGATGAGTCTATATAGTTCAGAGATATTTACAAATAAATTAGCATATGACCGTCGCCTTCCCCTGCTCGCCTAGATTCATCATTTGTTATAGTTAAATCTCTATAACCAAAAAATTTATATGTGACATGGTTCGGTTTTGAATTTACAAAGAAAACAGCATCTCTTGCAGCCATTGCAACAATATCAGCGCATGAAACGATGCCTGGGCATTGATTTTCAAGCTGTTCTTTTGCATCATCGATGATTTCATAGCCCCTCAAGCTCAAATTTGCTGGAGAGTCCTTTTCTGCAGTGTTGTCCCTTGTAGAATCAATAAGGATTGATGCATCACATCCCTAGTTTGATAAAAGCCAAAAGAAACGGTGGTAAGCATCGACCAATAAGCAGTCAGTCCTAATATTGTTATGGACGCACACAAAACTTTTTGATTTTCAATAATGTATTTGTATTTACTTTGGAGATCTAATTTTGGGAACTCATGAAGCTAAATTGTTAGTGAACTTTGTTCAATTGTAAGACTCACTATTAATCTAATGGGCATAATACCTAATATCATTGTTAATCTTTTTTTTTTTTTTTGTAGGGGCACTATTGGATATGTACTCACACAACCACGCATTAAGGCAAGCATTGGATATGGTATGCATGTATGTTGTGTTTGTGTGTGCGAGTGTTTAGAGATAGAGACTAACGAGCATTTGTTTTAATGATACTTTTTATTTTGTAAAAATTTTGTTTTTTTGAGGTCAAATATATATATATAGAGAGAGAGAGAAAAAAAAAACTTGCCTCAACGAAGCAGTCATGGAAGTGCATTCTGACAAGGGCTGCTGCCAAGGTGGCATCAGTTTCTAAAGCATTGTTAACCGTATTCTTCACAATTCCCTCGGCAAATGGGCAAGCCATTATGTAATAATCCATCCTGAGAGCATCTGCTCCAAATCTCATTCCACTAACTATCATCTCCATCAGCAAGATTACTGCAAACAAACAATGGTTAACCATCTTTATTACTTTTACAGGAAGATTTAGCAAAAGGAGGGAAGAAATAAGCCTTATGAGGCTATTTTGAAGCAGAACGGGAAGACTGATCATCGAAGACTATTGGATAGTAAGTGTTTATATAAGTGCATATGTTTGGAAAAAGCTACCAGATAAAGTCGAAGATAGTGGTCTAAATTTCTCTCCACCTAATCATATAGTATATATGATAAACTTAATTAGTTTCGTGCATATTTAGTTGTTTACTGCATGGAGGTCCACACGTAACAATCTTCAGCTTTTGTAATCGTGGTGTAAATTAATTATTTACACATTCAATCTCAGATGTTGAGGGAATTAAAGTGAAGAGATGTCGCAAAAGTAATAATTTGTCATAAATTATATTTAGTGTTCGGTTTGGAATTATTATCTTTATGTAACTCAGCCCGATATCAAATGCACACGGAACACCATCATGGAATGGACGGCATGCTCTCAACCCCTTCACCATACTTGACCTCTTGCTTCATGTTGCTTATGTAAAATTATTTAGTAGTGCTCCACTAGATTCTGCTTCGAAATTTAACGACCGTGGAATTGGGACAATGTGATGTCATTCCCAAGTGCAGAGCTGTTTTCCATAATGAAGAGAAAGCATGGTGCATGTGTCCATGTCCACTATCATTTTCTGTTTGCTTATACGCGTGAAATTGCTCGCACTGGGTTATAAGTGCTGACCACACGGCTTCGTGTATGTATGCAGGCAGAGATTGTTTTTTTAGTGGTGAGTGCGGTACATAGTATATGTGGCCCAATATGTGGAGGATGCTTTGAAGCAAAGGGAAGTCAAAATAATTGATTGAGACTTTGAAAAGGGCCATATATGTGTGTGTACGCAAACCCTAGTGAGCATGAATAGTCGAGACACAAGGCAGTCGATGAGTAGTAAACGCGGGTCCCACAGAATTATTTCACTATTGGTGTTAATAATTAATATTTCATAAAACAACTAAAATGGCAGCCCAATTTTNCACAAGGCAGTCGATGAGTAGTAAACGCGGGTCCCACAGAATTATTTCACTATTGGTTTTAATAATTAATATTTCATAAAACAACTAAAATGGCAGCCCAATTTCCGAGTCTTCCACCACTATAAGTTTTGAGGATAATAATTTGCCACTATGTGCTATGAGACTATTTCTGTACCATTATAAAACTATATATGATAGATAGAATTTCGGTGATGTAAAGAACACCAAACAACTGCAAAGGTAGCTCAAGGAAATTTAATGTCTAAAGCGAAAATACTAAATGATTGTCTTTTTTATTATTAATATTAATTTTTTTAAAACTTTAATTTATTTTTAATATTAATATTGAAAAAAAATAATTTATTTTTTAATTTATTATGTAAGTGAAAGACAAAAGAAGGACGTGCTAGTATTGCCGAGAAAAATATTTTAACCTTTTTTTGTAATATTTTTTACTTATTTTTACATAGAGAGAGAGTGAGTAGAGATGATTACGCCCAAAGAATAACGCGATAGTTGTAGCACAACTTTGAGGTGTCAATTTCACAGAGAGAAAAACTAAAAAGAATAATAGAAGTAACAAAGAAGTAAAGAAAAATATTAAATGATTACTAGAGAATAAAAATTAATTTTAAATGTAACTTAAAATAAAGCAAAGTGACTAACAGAAAAAGGATTCAAATTTAACAAACAGTAAAGCATCGGGATCCTTAGCACAAATCTGGTGTTTTAATTATGGTTAATTCATTGAATAACTCAATTGAAAATTTAATTCCCAAAATTTCCTACCATAAGATATAAATTTATAAACTAAGATTAAACCAAATGTAACCCTTTGAAAAATCATTCTCCATTTTGAAAATACGTAAATTATTATCAATATAGATAAATAATTAATTCAAAAATAATTAAAGAGCTAATCCATTCAATAGAAAAAGTCTGACTAAATCCATAAACAGAATAAATTTTATAATTATTCGAAGAAAAAAACATCAACAATGAATTGAAAATGATAAAACAAAAGAGTTTTAGTAATTGAAAATCAAATGCATAAATTAAATACAATCTACTTTGCAAGTTCACCCCTCGTCCAATCTGAGAGTTTAGTTATTCATAGATATAATGGACAACAAAAATCTCCCAAAAAAATAGAATAAACCGGCGCCCATCGGAGCTTTTTTTCTTAATCTGCGTCAACCCCCAAAAGCAAAAGAACAGCCATCTCTCCTTTGTTCATTCACAACCACCTAAAGAAAAGAAAAAAAGCAAGAAATCTTTTTAAAAGTCGATCCCCTTTTTTTTTTAGAAAAACTCTTTTCATTCTCTCTTGATTTCAATGTTTTTAATTCAGTCCCTAAAACTGAAATCTTGTGTAATTTGAGAAAGATAAAGCCCAATAAAAATTTTGAATATTGGGCCCACGTGAAAGTTGTATCAGCTTTAGCCTTTTTACTCCATAGATTGCCATCAAAATAAAAATAAATATAAAAGCCGAATAATAAAGTTCAAAAAATGTTAAGTGTAAAGTCCAATTGTAAATTATCTCTCACCAACCAATAATTCAATATTTAAAATTTAAAATATTATAAAATCATGCTCAAATATATCTAACTGTAAATAGATATTAAATTCAATAATATAAATTATATCTAATTATTTCTATTCTCATTTTAGCATTTTTAATCCAATAATAAGGTATTTAGAATGCACTTTCGCGCACTCATCACTCCCCCTAACTTACTCATTAGCAATTTTCATGTCGAAACAATGAAAGAAAACAAAGAAAATCACACACAAAGGCTACCAAGTCACACTTTCTAGATTCACATATCAAAATAATCTTAAAAATTCAATAACCCCATCACAAGCAATCCACTGAGAGTGTGTGTGTGTGTTCCAAACTATATTCATCTGATCAGAAGTCCTGACACATGCAACATCAACAACATCTCATGCGAAAGTTTCAATTCCATAACTCACGGGTATAAAAGTGTTTCGTGTGGAGATTCTCTTTATGGAGTTGACAATGGGTGTACACACACTCTCATGAAAAATTAGGCAATTTTGTACAAGCAACAAGCAAACATTAATCTTATGATAGGAATATTAACAAATGAGACTTCCTCCACGTTTTCTCAAAAACTTACTTAGGTTCAGAACGATCAACACAAAAAAAAGTTGTAACGTGGCTTAAGTTCGAGGCTATAAAAAAAATGAGAAAGGATTCAAGAACTTCCAAGTACATATAAAGGGAATATTTTAAATCTCTTAATAAACCACATTTCTTACTTGATGTACTCTTTAGTCTTTCAAGTCATCGAATAATGCCTCTTTTTTTCTTTTTCTTTTTTTTCTTTTCTTCTTTTTTTTTTCTTTTTTTTTTTAAAAAATAATTTGGTGAACAATTATGTCGCCCTGGTATTTTGCTATTTCTACCCAGTCTTGGTTTGTTTATTTTTTTTTTTACAACAAATTCACTTGGACAACTTGTAACTCATGTTCTTCCCTTTCCTCTCCCTCCCTTTTTTTTCAAAAAAAATTTCACATCTAGTACACACTTGGAAGTAACAAGGGTAGGAAAAATCAGTGTATAGGTTATACTCCAATGTGGAGAGGTATGTATAATATAGGCATATGAAAAGAAAAGGCTACATGTGTTTATTGGCTTAAAGTTGGCCACTAGGGGTCTATGGTGGAAAGGGTTAGCTTGAAAGGCTCAAACGTTGATCCTAAGTTGACTTTCATCATATTCCAAGGATATCCACCATCTTACGACAAACCATGTAATGATATTCTCAAAAGAAGTACCCAGTTCAACAGATCAATGAACGTTTATCACAATTTACTGCATTTGTAGGATCTCACTCCTCTCCAAAACTCACGTAAATATTTAAGAAAATGAGTTCTCTAGCTACATGTGTCAAACCACCATCTTACCACAAAGCTTGGATGAGTACATTAGGGGTTCTATGAATGCTTTAGCAAAAATGGATTATGGTGGTTTGGAGAATTCACGACGATGACTATGAATAAGAATAAGTACACATGTGAAAAGGATGCACGTGTGATGTAAAATTAAAATATTTGACACATGAAAATATGTCACAGAGTTCCAACAAGCATTTTAAATATTAAATTTGCACCACCACCACCCCCCCCAACTCAAATGAAACATTGTCCTCAATGTTTAAAAATCAAATTTGAATGGGGAAGTAACTAAAAAGGGCATAATACACCTGATTAGTGACATGGGTAGTTCGCTAAACACCAAAGATGGTAACTTGAATGACAAAATGAAATTAATCTGTAAACAAAAACAAAGAAAACAACAGCAAACTAAAAGGAAAAATAAAACAAACAAAACAAATAAAGAAAAACATACCTGTGTGGTGTGGTCAACGTTGATAGACCAGATCCTCAAGTGGAATGTCTTTCATTTTTAGAACTTGTTTATCAATTAATATTTTAAGGCGTTAATCATTTACTTTAAAGATCTGATCATCCTTAGGATCCTCTATTTCTACTGCCCCATGTGCAAAAACATTCTTCACTACAAAAGGTCCAGTCCACCTAGACTTAAGTTTTCCTAGGTGTTTATGGAGTCTAGAATCATATAAGAACACCCGATCATTAGGCTTAAACTTTTTTCTCAAAATAATTTTATCATGAAACTCTTTCATTTCAGCCTTATAGATTCTAGGGTTCTCATAAGCATCATTTCTCAACTCCTCTAACTCAGTCAACTGAAATTTTCTATTGTTACCTGTTTTTCCCATGTCAAAATTGAAATGTTTGATGGTCCAATAGGCTCAATGCTCGAGCTCTACACGTAAGTGACAAGGCTTTCCAAAAATAAGCCTATAAGGTGACATGCCTAAAGTAGTTTTGAAAGTTGTATGGTAAGCCCAAAATGCATCAACTAATCTCAAAGACCAATCCTTGCAATCCAGGTTGACAATTTGTTCTAAAATTTGCTTAATTTCCCTGTTTACAAGTTCCACCTGTCTAAGGGTGATAGGCAGTAGAGATCTTATGTACCACTCCATATTTTTTCATCATAACTTCAAAAGAACGGTTGTAAAAATGAGTACCTCAATCACTAATGATAGCACGTGGTATACCAAATCGAGATAACACAGTTTCTTTGAAAAATTTAATTACCATCCTATTATCATTGCTCCTACAAGATGTTGTCTCTACCCATTTTGACACATAATCT